TAGAGATGGGGTTTCACCATGTTGGCCAGGCTGGTCTTGAACTCCTGACCTCAGGTGAGCTGCCCGCCTTAGTCTCCCAAAGTGCTGGGATTACAGGCGTGAGCCACCGTGCCCGGCCGCAGAGCCTGGATTTTTAACTAAGACTAGCTTGGCTAGCACCTGTAGGGCTCTGGACAAATTGCTTTCCCTCTCTGGCATCTGTCCTGGGGAATGCAAACCAAGGGAATTAGATAGTAAAAAACTAGTGGCCCACAGGTCATAATCAGTCTGCATATATTATTTGTTTGGCCGTCATAGTGTTAATTTTTTTTGAGTTAGATGTGACCATTTCAAAACAAAGAAAATATACATTAAAAATTTGTGGGTTCTACTGAACAACTGGAAGATATGGCCACACTGATTGCTGTGCTTTGGATGCTTGTCCTCTCCAAAACTAATGTTGAAATTTGCCATTTTAACAGTATTAACAGGTGAACCTTTAAGAGATAATTAGGCCATGAGGCGATTAGGCTCACCCTCACAGATGGAATTAGTACTGTTATGAAAGGGCGAGTCAGCTCTCTATCCCCCTCCCTTCTCCCTTCTTCCTCACTCTCCCTCCCAGCACTGGGTGTCAATAAACTTATGTTCATATTAATTGCCCAGTCTCAGGTATTCTGTTCCTGAGTAAGACTCTACAAAAGTGTGATCCAGAATAAAAGAGACTAAGCCGGTGGTCTATATTCCCGTCTGGCAACAACTGGCTGGAGCTGAGAAGTCTCATTCTGAACAATCACAAACTGCAGTTGGTCATAGTCCCAACACTTCCAATGTTGCTACATTGTCATATGCCTACCTCAGGACCTTTGCACCTGCTTTTTTTTTGGCAGTACTTGGGACATTCCCAGAGAGCTGCCAAGGCCCAAATGAAATTACACCACTTGAAAGTGGCTCCTTAGCCTTTATATAAAATAATAAATTTCTCTTATCTACTCTATGGCTTTCTCTATTCCCCTCACTCTGGCTTCTTTTTTCTCTGTAGTACTTTGTTATCACTTACTATATTTATTTATTGCTGGCAGGCAGAAGAACCAACTGGCTAAACATAGAACTCAGGATCCATACTGCTGTATTCAGATCCCAGGTCTTCAACATACCAGCTATGTGAAAGGCAAGTTACTAAACTCTGTGTCATAGCTCTTCATCTGTAAAACTAGGGATAATAACTGTACCTACCTTCATGGGTTATTAAAAGGTTAAGATGAGGCTGGGCATGTTGTCTCACACCTGTAATCCCAGCACTTTGGGAGGCTGAGGCAGGAGGATCACCTGAGGTCAGGAGTTCAAGACCAGCCTGACCAACATGGTGAAACCCCATCTCTACTAAAAATACAAAAACTAGCCAGGTGTGGTGGTGGACACCTGTAGTCCCAGCTACTTGGGAAGCTGAGGCAGGAGAATTGCTTGAACCCGGGAGGTGAAGGTTGCAGTGAGCTGGGATCACACCACTACATCCACCCTGGGTAACAGAGGGAGACTCTGTCTTAAATAAAATAAAATATAAAGTTAAGATGAATTGGAACAGTGCTTAGTATATGGATTAGTAGTAGTTTCTGAATCGACTGAACATAACTCATTTATGTTATCTGCCTGACTCTGTAGGTAGTTTAATTTGTATACTAAAATCAGATGCTCTACTTTTAGCTCTAATGTCATAAAGTAGCTTAAGGATTTGTGTTGGCAAAATATTTGGGGCCTCAAACTTTCTAAAGTCAGCTTCTTGTTGAGACCATCTACCCAAGCTGAGATCTAAAGAATCCAGACAACTTAGTGAAG